CAATTCCAACGCCGCCAGGTAAATGCCACCACACACGTCACCAATGCCACCGCACCTCCCGCAGCCGCCACACCCGCCGCCAACGCCACACCCGCCATCGTCGCCGCCACCGTCACCGCCACCGTCACATCCATAGCCACCACCTCCACCGCAGCCACACCCGCCGCCAACACCACACCCGCCAACGCCAACTCCAACGCCGCCAGGCAAATGCAACCACTCCCGTCACCGATGCCACCGCACCTCCCGCAGCCGCCACACCCGCCGCCAACGCCACACCCGCCATCGTCGCCGCCACCGTCACCGCCACCGTCACATCCATAGCCACCACCTCCACCGCAGCCACACCCGCCGCCAACGCCACACCCGCCAACGCCAACTCCAACGCCGCAAGGCAAATGCCACCACACACGTCACCAATGCCACCGCACCTCCCGCAGCCGCCACACCCGCCGCCAACGCCACACCCGCCACCGGCACCGGCACCGCTGCCTCCACAACCGCTACCACCGCCATCGCAGACACACCCGCCGCCAACGCCACACCTACCGACACCGCAGCGACACCTGCCACAGCCGCCACCGCCGCCACATCCGACACAACTGCCACAACCTACGCAACCGCAACACCCGCCAACGCCCATGCCAAATCGTAAGCCAACGCATCCAACACCGGCGCCGCCACAAACGTCACCCCCGCACCGTCGCCACTCGAAGCGACATGTGGGGGATGAGGATGGATTGACAGGGGGGAAAACATGACGGCAGCTCCGCCGGCGGCTGCATCACCAGAGGAGACGCCGCCGCCGCTGTTGCCGCATTTGGCGGCACTCGAATGACAAGTGGGAAGGAAGTGACTCGAAGTGACTCGATAGACAGGTGGAGAAGAGGACGACAGCTCCGCCGGCGGCTGCATCACCAGAGGAGACGCCGCCGCCGCTGTTGCCGCATTTGGCGGCACTCGAATGACAAGTGGGAAGGAAGTGACTCGAAGTGACTCGATGGACAGGTGGAGAAGAGGACGACAGCTCCGCCGGCGGCTGCATCACCAGAGGCGACGCCGCCGCCGCTGTTGCCGCATTTGGCGGCACTCGAATGACAAGTGGGAAGGAAGTGACTCGAAGTGACTCGATGGACAGGTGGAGACGAGGACGACAGCTCCGCCGGCGGCTGCATCACCAGAGGAGACGCCGCCGCCGCTGTTGCCGCATTTGGCGGCACTCGAATGACAAGTGGGAAGGAAGTGACTCGAAGTGACTCGATAGACAGGTGGAGAAGAGGACGACAGCTCCGCCGGCGGCTGCATCACCAGAGGAGACGCCGCCGCCGCTGTTGCCGCATTTGGCGGCACTCGAATGACAAGTGGGAAGGAAGTGACTCGAAGTGACTCGATAGACAGGTGGAGAAGAGGACGACAGCTCCGCCGGCGGCTGCATCACCAGAGGAGACGCCGCCGCCGCTGTTGCCGCATTTGGCGGCACTCGAATGACAAGTGGGAAGGAAGTGACTCGAAGTGACTCGATGGACAGGTGGAGAAGAGGACGACAGCTCCGCCGGCGGCTGCATCACCAGAGGAGACGCCGCCGCCGCTGTTGCCGCATTTGGCGGCACTCGAATGACAAGTGGGAAGGAAGTGACTCGAAGTGACTCGATGGACAGGTGGAGAAGAGGACGACAGCTCCGCCGGCGGCTGCATCACCAGAGGAGACGCCGCCGCCGCTGTTGCCGCATTTGGCGGCACTCGAATGACAAAGTGGGAAGGAAGTGACTCGAAGTGACTCGATGGACAGGTGGAGAAGAGGACGACAGCTCCGCCGGCGGCTGCATCACCAGAGGCGACGCCGCCGCCGCTGTTGCCGCATTTGGCGGCACTCGAATGACAAGTGGGAAGGAAGTGACTCGAAGTTACTCGATGGACAGGTGGAGAAGAGGACGACAGCTCCGCCGGCGGCTGCATCACCAGAGGAGACGCCGCCGCCGCTGTTGCCGCATTTGGCGGCACTCGAATGACAAGTGGGAAGGAAGTGACTCGAAGTGACTCGATGGACAGGTGGAGAAGAGGACGACAGCTCCGCCGGCGGCTGCATCACCAGAGGCGACGCCGCCGCCGCTGTTGCCGCATTTGGCGGCACTCGAATGACAAGTGGGAAGGAAGTGACTCGAAGTGACTCGATGGACAGGTGGAGAAGAGGACGACAGCTCCGCCGGCGGCTGCATCACCAGAGGCGACGCCGCCGCCGCTGTTGCCGCATTTGGCGGCACTCGAATGACAAGTGGGAAGGAAGTGACTCGAAGTGACTCGATGGACAGGTGGAGAAAAGGACGACAGCTCCGCCGGCGGCTGCATCACCAGAGGCGACGCCGCCGCCGCTGTTGCCGCATTTGGCGGCACTCGAATGACAAGTGGGAAGGAAGTGACTCGAAGTGACTCGATGGACAGGTGGAGAAGAGGACGACAGCTCCGCCGGCGGCTGCATCACTAGAGGCGACGCCGCCGCCGCTGTTGCCGCATTTGGCGGCACTCGAATGACAAGTGGGAAGGAAGTGACTCGAAGTGACTCGATGGACAGGTGGAGAGGAGGACGACAGCTCCGCCGGCGGCTGCATCACCAGAGGCGACGCCGCCGCCGCTGTTGCCGCATTTGGCGGCACTCGAATGATAAGTGGGAAGGAAGTGACTCGAAGTGACTCGATGGACAGGTGGAGAAGAGGACGACAGCTCCGCCGGCGGCTGCATCACCAGAGGCGACGCCGCCGCCGCTGTTGCCGCATTTGGCGGCACTCGAATGACAAGTGGGAAGGAAGTGACTCGAAGTGACTCGATGGACAGGTGGAGAAGAGGACGACAGCTCCGCCGGCGGCTGCATCACCAGAGGCGACGCCGCCGCCGCTGTTGCCGCATTTGGCGGCACTCGAATGACAAGTGGGAAGGAAGTGACTCGAAGTGACTCGATGGACAGGTGGAGAAGAGGACGACAGCTCCGCCGGCGGCTGCATCACCAGAGGCGACGCCGCCGCCGCTGTTGCCGCATTTGGCGGCACTCGAATGACAAGTGGGAAGGAAGTGACTCGAAGTGACTCGATGGACAGGTGGAGAAGAGGACGACAGCTCCGCCGGCGGCTGCATCACCAGAGGAGACGCCGCCGCCGCTGTTGCCGCATTTGGCGGCACTCGAATGACAAAGTGGGAAGGAAGTGACTCGAAGTGACTCGATGGACAGGTGGAGAAGAGGACGACAGCTCCGCCGGCGGCTGCATCACCAGAGGCGACGCCGCCGCCGCTGTTGCCGCATTTGGCGGCACTCGAATGACAAAAGTGGGAAGGAAGTGACTCGAAGTTACTCGATGGACAGGTGGAGAAGAGGACGACAGCTCCGCCGGCGGCTGCATCACCAGAGGCGACGCCGCCGCCGCTGTTGCCGCATTTGGCGGCACTCGAATGACAAAAGTGGGAAGGAAGTGACTCGAAGTTACTCGATGGACAGGTGGAGAAGAGGACGACAGCTCCGCCGGCGGCTGCATCACCAGAGGCGACGCCGCCGCCGCTGTTGCCGCATTTGGCGGCACTCAAATGACAAGTGGGAAGGAAGTGACTCGAAGTTACTCGATGGACAGGTGGAGAAGAGGACGACAGCTCCGCCGGCGGCTGCATCACCAGAGGCGACGCCGCCGCCGCTGTTGCCGCATTTGGCGGCACTCAAATGACAAGTGGGAAGGAAGTGACTCGAAGTGAATCGATGGACAGGTGGAGACGAGGACGACAGCTCCGCTGGCGGCTGCATCACCAGAGGCGACGCCGCCGCCGCTGTTGCCGCATTTGGCGGCACTCAAATGACAAGTGGGAAGGAAGTGACTCGAAGTGACTCGATGGACAGGTGGAGAAGAGGACGACAGCTCCGCCGGCGGCTGCATCACCAGAGGCGACGCCGCCGCCACTGTTGCCGCATTTGGCGGCACTCGAATGACAAAGTGGGAAGGAAGTGACTCGAAGTGAATCGATGGACAGGTGG